TCATAGGGTGGCCCATTTATTGAGTCCACTCCCTCTTCATCTTAATCTACGGGGCTCATATAACACCTCCATCTCCTAAAGCGAAAACATCTGCAAATCTTACCGATAAAAAAAAAAGTGCAAACCCTACCAATAAAAAAAAAAACATCTGCAATCAAATCTCTCACAAATCATGGCTAATTTACCGGGATTGGGTGATCACGTGGTCCAAAATGCCAACGTCGACCTCGAAGTGCAAAATGAGGGGTTTACGGTAACGAACATAGACGTGGACCCTCTTCCCTTTGGAGTGATTCCAAATAACGACCAGGTCGCGGCTGAGGATCGCAGGAGGAGAACTTTGATAGATAAGGTTCCAAATATGAATAATTTGGATGCGGCATAGCGGGAATTGAGGTACCATCAGATCCTCACAAGGGTGAATGGGATGGCTCCACTTCACCCCGCCTTGGTGCAAATGCTACAGCTTATCGGGCAGGGCCTACAGGGTATCTAGCAGACCCAACAGGCTTTGGTACAAGGCCATCAGGGATTTGCTACAGGCACTTCTGGACCAGCAGGCTATACTTCACGGCCATCACGGTCTATTTCAGGTCATGCTTCAGGCTATCCAAAATCTCCAGCTGGGCAAACAAAGGACGGCTACATTACTCCAAGTCATGTCTGCGAGGAGTAGAAATCAACACATCCAACGACAGATGAATGCACCTTTTTGCCTCTTGCCAAAATTGTATGTCGCCATCCATTTCCGCAGCCGCAACCCGTCCAAGGAGTGAATATTAATATGGTGGCTATCAAGTGGGTTATATACCCCTTAATGGACTGATGTCTTTAACCAATAATGAGTTCGCAATGATGCAGAAGCGACATCTGCCTAATTTGAGGAGAATACTGATAATCATTTATTGGTTTTATAACGATGCCAGTCTGAATATTCCCCACAGGACATCCGAGGATGTCCAAACTGGCATCGTTATGAAACCAATAAATGACTTTCAATGTTCTTCTCAAAATTAGGCAGGTCTTGCTTCAGCATTGCTACAAACTCATTATTGGTTAAAGGCACCAGTCCATTAGGGGCATATCACCCACTAGATAGCCCCCATATTAATATTCACCCCTTAGACGGGTTGCGGCTGCAGAAATGGATGGTCGGGATACAATTTTGGCAAGATGGCCAAGGGTACATTCATCTGTCTCTCCGGATGTGTTGATTTCGAGACCTCGCCTTCATGACTTGAAGTAATGTTGTTCTCCTTCGATTGGCCAGCTGGATAGCCTGAAGCGTGTCCTGAGATAGAGCTTGATGGTCCTGAAGTAGAGCTTGCTGGCTCTGAAGTGTCTGTTGCAAAGTCTGATGGCCCTGAATCGTAGCCAATTGGGTCTGCTCCATATCCTGCATTGTCTCCACGATAACCTGAAGCAATTGCATCAAACCCTGGGGGAGTGGAGCCACCTCATTCACTCTTGTGAGGACATCATGGTACCTCAATTCCCGTTGTGCGGCAGCCAAATTATTCATATTTGGAACCTTATCGATCAAAGTTCTCCTCTTGCGATCCTCAGTCGCGACCTGGTCGTTGTTTGGAATCACTACAAAAGGAAGAGAGTCCATGTCTATGTTCGTTACCGTAAACCCCTCATTTTGCACTCCAAGGTCTATATTGGGATTTTGGACTACGTAGTCACCCAATCCCGGTAAATTAGTCATGGTGAGAATAACAAATTATATTTTTGGACTACGTAGTCACCCAATCCCGGTAAATTAGTCATGGTGAGAATAACAAATTATATTCAAAAACGGCAAAAATCAATAAAAAAAACAATCAATCCATAATCTCAGCATTTGCACAAACGACACAGAACTTAAAAACGAAAACCCATTGTATATTTCACAAAATCTGTTGCTAAACAACACCAACTAATAAGAGCTCATCAATTATTTAGCCTCACAAGCGTAGTTTTCCAACATTAAGCGGAAAAAATATATCACAAGGAATTTTAGGGTTTTGCTGTTTGGGCAAATTGGGATTAGAAGATTTGGAAGTAGGGACTTACCGCGACGGCGGGGCCGAGACACCAACTCCGTATTTCCCGCCGCCGGAGATTGTCTTCTGACCGGCGATGGACCGTGGAGTTATCACTGGAGGTGTGGAAGATACAGATACAGTTTGTGTTCTCCAAAGTTTCGTGCTTTTTTCACACTTTTTTTTCTCTATTTTATTTATTTCTTTATTTATCGCTCATTAAGTCATCTCATTCCCTTGAAGAGTCCAAGTGGTTTATTTGGGCCCAATTATTTTGGGCCGTTTAGTTTAAATGTGTATAATACATAGTTTAGTTAGTTCTAGTTACAAATATATGTGTTCTCCAGCCCAGAAAGTTACCTATGGGCCTAATGTACGGCGGGGCCGGTGCTGGTGCACCTTCTCCCATAACTCCAGCGCATATTAATAATTCACATATTACTCAACTCAACACAAAGTCACACAACAACATTTATTGCTACCGCGTTGGCAACAATTATTTCCGAACATGCATGTAAAATAATGATTAGATTTTATATTATTTATTTTGTCAATAATAATAAGTCATATTTTGGTTCCCTTTAGTTATAATTGAAAAACAATTACGCTACACACGCATGTAGATATATCATTGCCTTACTATTTTTTT